TATCCATCTATCTATTGATCCATCTATCTATTGATCTATTGATCTATTGATCTATTGATCTATTGATCTATCGATCTAAAAGCCAAATACCACTCACTCATCATGAAATCTCTAGAACAATTTTGACATTAAATTGAGGGTTCCAGTTGCCTTGTTCTACTCTAGAGGGTATTTGGGCATTGGCAATAATGAAATAAAGAACGACCACAAACCCAAACCGATGTCCTGTGGTTGAATATCATCCATTTTATTTGAAAGCTGGTATTTTCTGAAAAGGTTGCTGAAGAAACCATTGGTGCCCCTTGAAGAGTTATCTCTGATCCCCAAACTGTGCTTTGTATCATGTCGGTTACAACTCAGGGACACGAGACAAAAATTAACATAGGAAGCTCCCAGCTCCCAAGCATGTTGAGGGGATTATCAAACTCTTCCAGATATGGGCATTTATTTTCCATTTTACACCTGTTATTTTCCTTCCTTCTGGTTTTACTTGGCACATTGACTGCAGGCATCATAGTATGTGCAGGCTATTTTTTCCCCCTTTTGACAGGATTATTTCTTTTATCTCTTCCTTTTTTCCTCCGTCCAGATCAATGCTGTATCCCTCTTCCTGCTCTACCTGGTGGAGATGATTTCATCCGGCCTGCAGATCATTTACAACACGGATGAGGTATGAAGAAGCCCATTCCATATCTCACGAAAGCAGGCTGTAGGAATTTTACAGGCTTTTAAACAAAATGGAAGGAAATTCTTTTCCCTGGGCGTTTTCCGAAATAGTTGAATTGAATTAAAATTAGAGCAATTTTTTTTTCTGTCTTTCTTTCTTTCTTGGCCCTGAATGATAGCAAGATACTATTTCTGTTAGCATTTCTGTTAACCATATAAAAGCTAGGTCAGAAGCAGAGGTAGGTATTCATTCAGTTCTGACCGGTTCTGGTAGCAGAAAGTTTGAGTAGTTTAAAGCACCGGCAAATACCACCTCTGGCTGGCCCCGCCCCATCTATTTTCTGCCTCCTAAGTCCCAGCTGATTGGTTGGCCGAGGTGGCGCAGTGGTTAAATGCAGCACTGCAGGCTACTTCAGCTGACTGCAGTTCTGCAATTCGGCTGTTCAAATCTCACCGACTCAAGGTTGACACAGCCTTCCATCCTTCCGAGGTGGGTAAAATGAGGACCCGGATTGTTGTTGGGAGCAATATGCTGACTCTGTAAACTGCTTAGAGAGGGCTGAAAGCCCTATGAAGCGGTATATAAGTCTAACTGCTATTGCTATTGCTATGCCAGTTATCAGCTGCTTTCAGAGTCAGACACCAGTGAGGCAGAGGAATAGCTGGAGCCTGTTCCCAGTGTGCGCATGCGCAGA